ACGCAAAGTAAGTCTAAGTGGAAAAAATTAGCATTTCACAAGCAAACAGTTCACAGAAAACAGTTAAACAGAGCATCTACTGCGTGAGAGTAAGAGGTAATGGATCACTTTCACTTTCGCTCTTGGATAGGGAAACCTTTACGCACAGACATCAATTAGTCTATAAATAAATACTTTTGTTTGTTAAGAGCAAATATTCATTTCAAAACTATTTCTAAATTCAGTTCTAATTTTCAGCAAACGAATAAATGAACAATAATAAAGAAGTGTGCTCAAAAACCTGAGTTATATCCTAAAACACATGCTGTGCCCCATATGGTCTAAAACCTGACAGGTGGACAAATCTAAGCTTGTTTTTAATAAAACAAATATAAATATGGATATAATAAATAATACTGCTAATAATAATAACATTATACAAAAGCTAATTGTTATGAATGAACTGAAAAAGCCTCCCGAGATGAAGAAGACATAAAGCAGTGATTTTTCATATTTATGTAGGCTAGAAAATAATATGTTTTGTAATATTTTAATTCTTTATATTTATATTCTATATCTATTCTTATTATATCCTATATATATCCTTAATATTTAAATGTTTTCATATGTAAAGATATTTGCCTATTGCTCTCTTGTGTGTATTAAGCAGTGTGTAAGCGAGGCGCAACTCTGCGCTGGAGTTTAGACCGGGTTAGCTTTGGTCTAATGAAAAATCTATTGTAGTTTCTCAAAATAGCAACGCGCCAGCGATCCGCCTCAGAACGCCGTCCTTTTTAGAGCAGAACACCTATGGGCGCACAAATGAGCGCTAATCCATTTGCTGTTTAAACAGCGTAGCGCAACGCCTCAAAACCACTCTTGCGCCAAGCTGAAACTACCAAAAGACTACTGCGCCACGTCTTGCGCCACACTGCACCGGGTGTATGACAGGGCCCTAAGACCATCAAGTGTTACATTTAAGACCTATATCACAATATCAAAAACACACACAAACACGAAGAGAAAATGCTAAATCACTAAATTAGTGGCAAAATAAATGTATTTAGATTGAGCAGAGCTGAAGACAGGTCAGACGCATCATTAAACTACAGGACAAATCAAACATCTCCAGGCGGATTTAGACTGTCCTGGCGCCGTATTGCACACCTCTGCTGACTCAAGCAGACGAGGCTCTTTAAAACGACAGGGGCAAGAGAAAACCACTGTAAAGTCAGACGGATAAACAAAGAAGGAGGAAGTTTCTACATCATATCATTAATATCCTTCAAGATTTATAAACTAATTATTTTATATATTTTTAATAATTTATTTAAATGATTATAAAGATTTTTATCACCAGTCCACATTTTTAAAATCAAACTTTGCTGCTTCACCTGCTTGTGTTCGTATCTCGGACAGTTCTGCCTATTAAAGCTCAATATTGATGACTACAGCACATGTCCCGCTCTACCTTTATATTTTATTATGGAAAGAATGAAAGCAACCAAAACAGTATGCATGTTAAAATACTGACGTTGTTTTATTGTTATTAATCCCGCTCCACAACTGACACATAACTGTCTGGCTGGTTTCTGTCCTCTACTTATAAGCTGAAGAGGCAATAATGCTCAACATTCCTGACCATGATCACCAATAAAGCCCAGAGAAACAGACGTCAGGATACTGGAAACTGATGGAGGCAAATACTCCTCTACAGCGATTAAACACATCATTTGTTCCTTCATCATAGTTTTGTAACTACTCAAATCTGTAATTTCTACATCAGTGTAAAAGCTGTAAATGGAGGAAAAGCTTTTGGCTTTAACAAACATATCTCTCAGAGTTTTCCAAACTTTAACAAAAACTGTCCTCCTTTCCCGCTGCTGTTGCCATTTCTAGCCAGGAATGATTGATCATCTGGTTCTCTCTATGATGATCCCGCATGAACGGATCATAAAGATGTGTGTAGAGCCGTTCTGTTTCAGACAAAATCTCTTCAAAGTGTTTCATATTCAACTCAAATCAGCTCCGGCGCCGCACGAACAGTTCACTTGAGTCTCAAAAAACATCCTGCGCTCCGCCAGCCGAAATCAGGCCGCACGCACCCAAAGCAAACCTCTGCAAACTCTGCCATGACGTCACATCAGTTCAATAACAGAAAGCTGATTGGCTGTTGCATGCTGGTCTCATTGTAGTACTGTAATACCGCAAATTACATTTGGACAAGTGAAATAAAAAACTCCAACACCACCAAAACCAAGCAACAACAACGAAATAGAATCAAACTGAGCATTAGATGTAGAGTTACATGGACATCAGACACCAGAAGACCTAAAACAGCCAGTTTAAGACTTTTTAAGGCCTAAAATTTCATTTTTACATTTGAGACTTTAAGACCCTGCAGAAACCCTGTTCATGAAGCTTCCAAACTACAGCTGAAGTTAAAGCATCACTACACTGAAAATAAACTCAAATCAAAGCAGAAACTGATTGATATTGAAGTATGCATTAAAGAATAATCATAAATATCACGTTGCCTTCAGTTCTTTAACAGAAATGTATTTTACTCTAGTGAGACACTTATTTAAGCTGCCAAACTTGAGCTGGTCGATTAATCAGAGAGAAATACAACCCAAACATATAAGGGCTCTCCACAGCAGAGTGAAGTGACATCATCAAATAAACAGCAGATATTCACTTCACTCAAACGTTCATTCTGCTTGCAGGAGATGCTGCTTACTTCCCATATTTGACAATGGAATTTTCATTCATTTTGTTTGCAAAAAAAGATATTGTCTACTCTATTCATTCATTTTGAACATAAAAACTGAAATGTACGCTTTTCCCACATCATTGCTGCAATTTCAACCAATTTATGCTTTGATTAAGTTTAAAGTATGCATTTTAAAAAATCAGAAACAGTTTGTTTTCCTCATTGAATGCACTTCAATATAGATGTATTTTAAACTAGTATGATGCTTCATTTATTTTCCAAACTAGAGCAGAACGATTAACCGAAAACAAACCAAGATTAATAAACTTACTCCTCAAGTTATAAGAGGTCTTCATAGCAGAATGAAGTTATATCATCAATTCAAAATAAGCACTATTGATGCCATCCTGATGCTTTTTATTCCTGTAATTCTGCTTGCAGGAGATGCTGCTCATTTCCCACTTTTGACAACTTTTTTTTTTCTTTTAAGTGCTGAGCAAAAACCAATAGAGATTAACTCCATACAAAATAAAAGTTTGCTTTGACATAATATATGTGTGTGTGTGTGTATTTGTGTTTATATACTGTAAACACACACATGCATAAATATATACATATATATATCTCAAAATGTTTATTTATATATTTACATATCAAGTAAGTGTATATGATACACATTTTATATAAATCTAAAGATCTCTGTAACAAAATAGTTGTTTTTCTGTGTATGTGTATCAGATACGCAATACATACACACACACACACACACACACACACACACACACACACACATTTATGTCAAAACAAGTTGTTATTTTGGATGAGATGAATCATTGGCCAGCATTAGTTTTTTAAATGAATCTTCTACAGTAAAACTGAAAAGTGATTTTTTTTCCCTTCAATTTAAAGAGCTGCACAAATAACCTTAAATAAACTCTTCACCTTCATCATCATAATAATTCATTTATTTTGTTTGCAAAAAAGCTATTTATTATTATATTTTTTTTAATGCTGGGCAAAAATTTATTGCAATTAATCTAAAACCCAAAATAAAAGTTTGTTTTGACATGATGTAAGTGTGTGTGCTGTGTATATTCATTATGCATATATAAATACATGAATGCATAATCAAATAATATTCAAGTGTAATGACACACATTTGATGTAAATGTAAATATCTAGGCTATGTAACAAAATAGTTTTGTTTCTGTGAATCTGCGTGTGTCAGATATAAATCCATATAATACACACTGTTGTTTTGGATGAGATGAATCATTGTCCAGCACTAGTTTTTATAATCAATCTTCATCAATAAAACTGAAATGTGAGTTTTTTCTTCCATATGGACAGCTAAACAAATAAACTTGAATGAAATCTTCACCTTCATCATCATAATAATCATCTTCATCATCATCATCATCATCGTCTTCTTCTTCTTCAGCGGGGAGCATCGAGCGTCTTTCAGGAGCTCCAGCAGATCAGCCATAATCTCCAGGCGCTGTGGCCGGGTTCAGTGCACTCTCCTCCGGCCGCCGCCGCGCTCTCGCCCGCGCTCCGGTTCCCGCGTCGGAAAAACTCGCCCTCAAAGCGCGCAACTAAAAAAGCGTCGCTCCGTATTTAAAAGGGGTCGCAGAAGAGCTGTTGGTGATGATTAGAAACATGCTCACGATGGAAAATATCCCTCTCTTTTTCTCCGTGACTCCGCTTTTTCGGAACGTGTTGCGCTCGGGCGGATGCACAGGTGCCGGAGGGCGGAGCTCCAACACCCGTCACTCAGAGCTGGAGACACACGCACACAGACACACACACACACACACACACTCTATTTATAGACAGACAAAATAAGACACTTGAATCAATAGAACTGAAAATGCGAAATAATTGTGTAAAATAGGGACAAATGTTGTGTTAAAGGGACAGTTCACCCAGAAATGTACATTTACACACTCTTAAGGGTTATAAAGCTTTAGGAGTGTCATTCTTCTGTTAAAACACTAAAGAAGATATTTTGAAGAATGTTGGAAACCTGTAACCACTGACTTCCATAATAAGGAAAACATTGAGTTGAAGGGATGTGTTTTACAGTACTTTTACACTATAAAACCTGCTGGGTTATCTCAACCCAAACTGGGTAAACTATAGACGAGTCCAAATATTGTGTTAAAGGGAAAGGTCACCCAGAAATGTACATTTACTCACTCTTAAGGGGTTATAAAGCTTCAGGAGTGTCTTCTGTTAAAACACTAAAGAAGATATTTTGAAGAATGTTGAAAACCTGTAGTCATATGTCTCATTGTAGGTAAACAAATATCATAGATGTCAATGGTTACAGGTTTCCAGCATTCTTCAAACTATCTTCTTTAGTGAAAGAAAATCCTATAAGTTTGAAACAAGTATAAACTGAGTAACTGATGAGAGAATTGCTGTTTTGGGGTGAACTGTCCCTTTAAGTGGTTATAAACTTTTAGCAGTTTCTTTCATCAAAACACTAAAGAAGATATTTTGAAGAATGTTGGAAACCTGTAGTCATATGACTCTAATGGTAGGAAAACAAACACTATGGAGGTCTATGGTTACAGGATTCCAGCATTCTTCATGTAACCATTGACGTCCATAGTAGGAAAAATGGTTCAGATTTTGATTGTTTTCAATGGTTACAGGTTTCCAACATTCTTCAGAATATCTTCTTTTGCTTTCAACATGACAGAGAAACTCATAAAGGTTTGAAACAATTAAAGGTGAGCAAATGATGACATAATTGTTATTTTTGGGTGAACTGCCCCCCTTTATTGAGTTTAAACCTCTTCGAGTGTCTTCTGTTACACACTGAAGAAGATATTTTAAAGAATGTTGGAAACCTGTAGTCATATGACTCTCATGGTAGGTAAATAAATATGATGGAAGTCAGTGGTTACAGGTTTCTAACATTCTACAAAACATCTTTTGCTTTCAACAGAATAAAAAACTCATGAAGGTTTGAAACATTCATTCATTCATTCATCTTCTGCCGCTTTTTCTGCGGGGCAGCAGTCTTCGGAGGGAACCCCAGACTTCCCTATCGCCAGACACTTCCTCCAGCTCCTCCTCCTCCGAGGCGTTCCCAGCCGAGAGACATAGTCCCAACATTGAAATTGTTATTTTGGGGTGATCTGTCCCTTTAAGCGGTTATAAAGCTTTACGAGTTTCTTTCTTCTATCAAACCCCAAAAGAAGATATTTTGTAGAATGTTGGAAACCTGTAACCATTGACTTAAAGAGCAGGGAAAACAGAGCTGAGGATAAAAAGATGAGTTGAGATGAAATGGTTCAGATTTTAATGGTTTTCAAT